TTTAGTTTATTATATCTCTGATAAATCTTCTGACTGAACGTTTGAATCGGTTTCTTAAGCTTCTTTAGTAACCCCAGGCTAAATCTACGCGACAACTTGAACACGAAAGAAATGACTCGAAATATGGAAAGAATGTTTTATTCCTAGGTTTGGTCACGTACGAAAATCGAGGGTTTTTCTAGAGTTTCACATAGTCTTGGGTTTCTGGGACGTTCTGGAATCCATCTCAACATAGTAGCAGGACAGGCAATCATCCAATCAAAAATGTGATAGTTGAATCTTCGCTTCCTAGATGTTTCTGAGAAACTTCTAGTGAATGCTAATTGAAAAAAGTTTTCAGGGCCCGTTCGGGCTTTTTTCGAGGAGTTTTCTGAGTCTCCTCAACAACCTCATCTGGAGACAGTTGTTTTCCTGATATCCATATCTAAAGGTTTTCATCTTTGCAGAACAGTATAAAGATAAAATGTATCTGAGATAGATGCTATCATACCACCATATAATTTCAGTTAAAAATAACTATCAGTATAGGGGTCGTGGAGATTATTAAGTTTTTGATTGAGATCATGAACCGATATATGTTAGACCACTGTTGGAAACCTGAACGCACTGGACGGCCGTTTCGCCCGAAGTTCTGGTGAGAAGCCGTGACCAATGGAGCTAATCCGTGTTGGGTAAAAACAGGTATCAACTTCAGTACAATGGAAGATGGTCGCGCGATTTCGTGGAATGATTGATGTTAAACACTAACACCATTGGATGCCGGCTCTGTGATCCAGTAGGTTGAGCGTTCGCGTGCAAGATTGAAGGCCCTGGATTCTAATCCCGGGAGCGGGATCGTGGATGCTCACTGTTGGGGAGTCCCGCAATAGGGCGAAACGGCCGTCCAGTGCGTTCAGGTTTCCAACAATGGTCTGACATATATCGGTTCATGATGTCAACCAAAATAAAAATAACTAATTAATTAGAATCCCAAAATAATGTTAATGAAAAAGTAATTACTTTTGTGATGTTTCTCCATCAGTCTATTCCTATTACAAGAATAATTTCTAAATTGATTTATTCAAATAAGAAACCATAGCCTATGAAGTTAAATAAGTCAGAAGTTAGATAATAACTTTCCGATAACACTGGATCGGTGTTTCGTTATGTCAAAAGCTGAAAACTTTTGATTACCTATCTCTAATATAATACTGTAAAAGTATTATTTTTTTCTGTGGAACAAAAAAGTTCACGTTTTTATTCGGTATATGGGTTATTAAATAGGCTTTGGTTAAAAATATTCAAATTATGATAAAACAGTTTTCTAGTGGACCATTCGTTTTTTCTTCGGTTTTTCAGCTACAGATATCTAGTAATCGACACATATAACTGAAATGAATTATGGAGTTTATATTTCTCTTCAATATGAATTCATGTAATCTTATTTAGATTTTATTTAACTTTTCCTGCTTTTCGCTTATTACAATGTGAAAATTGTTTTACACCTATTATTTTCATTAAAACTAAAAAAATAATTGTTGTTCAACTGCGAAATTAAACTGAGCCGAGTGATGTCTGTTGAATCTAGATATGATTTAATATAATAAGTAATTGGTTAAAAATAATAAGAGTAAAAATGAAAGACTTTGTCATGAGATAAAAAATCGACCATGTTATAGTTCCACTGTTATATGTACTATATCAAATTTATCTAATATAGTGGATTTAATAGGTGACTGCTTCTAAAATATCCGTAATCCCCCTGTATTGACATTATTCTTGTTACTAAAGCTAACTTAAATCTTCTCTTACTATCACTGTATGCTTAATTTCATGAAATAACATAAAAATCTCATATGAATATCGAATCGCATTTATAATTCTGTAAAAATTCTTCCATTATCATGAATAAATTCAGGGCAACTACTATACATATTATGAGTTTTACGCTAGTTACATTTCAGCAATTCAATAGATTATAATGGCAATTGATACTTGTATGTTTTGAGGTGAACTACAACGAATTAGAAATGTGAAACTCAAGATACCACACAGTGATTTAAGTGATGAGCTCTCTCTGAACAACCTGGCGGTGCTGGGTTCAATGATGTAAACGACTGGATGGTATTAAACTGGGATTATATAAGCCTTCAGTTATTCATAATTTCTTATAGTTCTGCAGTTAATGGAAACTCATGACGAAACATATTTTTAAGCTTGTAGTGACTCACCATTTATCACGAGAACACGACCGGTTTAATAAAAACAATTATTATTATAACCAACTGTACCAGTGTTTGTTTTAACGTGCTTTTGTTTGACTGTGCTAATGACAGCTTTTACTTACACTTCGATTGTAACTTCGCGCGAATTCGGTTACGTTCTGTAACCAAACTTCTATCCTGGCACGATCTCGGTATCCTTTCGATGCCACGAGATCGCCAGCGAATATATCTCGATTTGGTCCATTAACTGTCTTCTGATATTTGGCTTCTCGGGGATTTTATGGATTTATTTGGTTACGTTCAACCTTCGCCTTCTGATTAACTTGGCACGTGTTTCTTGGTAGCGGTGTTCATAGTTAATTTCAACTCGACGCCACGCTACAAGCTATTGAATTGTTTAAATTTTTCCACATTACCAAAGCACATAGATAAACAAGCGAAAAATGTTCGTCTAACCAGGTCCTACAATTATAAGTCAGAGTAAATGGCACTAAATCACTTACACTATAAAGAATACACATTTTGATTTCAGGATTAAAAATAAAATACTCATGATAACCATTTAGAGATATATAACTAACTAAGCACTATTGATTGTTCAAATGCATTAACAAATAACACAAACAGAAGGGAATATTTATCATTATTAAAGAATTAATGATCATATTGTGGTGTGGGATAATTATATCCATATAAATAGTATAAAACGGTGGTCAGGCATAGAATGTATTTCAGCAGAAGATTTATAAAGAAAGAATAGAAAGGGAACGCAATTGGTATGAAAAAAAAATGAAAAATGAAGTCTGAGACAATGGACTGATATGGTGGATCCTACAAGTTGTTAAACAAATACCTGTTGTTATAGGAATTAAATATAAATTGAATGTCATGACCCAGATTAGTGCATATAGGTATAACTTTCGAAATACATGCTTCCGATATTCAGTGAAAACGTCAGCATGTCAGCAGTCATATTTTTTGTGAGTTTCATGCTAAATAAAACTTTTACTACGTATTTTACGGTTATTGACAGCTAGAAATCTTCAAGATGAGGCTGATAACTTCATACTTATAGATCAATAAATGTGCACTTATGATTTAAAGACAGTTTTATCCACGAAATCACATCAATTAGAGAACCACTGAAACACTAAGAAGGGGTAAAACACGACTCTATTCTAGATTAGAATTTCTCAATAGTTCATATGAATAAATTAATACGGAACTGAACACAAAACTTATAGGTCGTACAGAAATAACAACTTCATCAGACTTCTCAGTAGAAACCCAATGACTAACGTTCCCAACTCTAGCAACTTTACCCCGTCAGGAGTAAATGCCCTAATCTTGACATGTATGAACTTCAATATCAAAGATTTCTTACCATAGCTCTAAGGATTTATTTCGAAACTGATGACCAAATGTGCATTGTTTAGTTGGGTGGCTGACGGTGATTCCTTCTATATAAAAACATTTCTCCATCAATAATCGAAGTTTTCCGGCAAATTCCATAAACCATGAAATAGTGAACAACTGTCTTGTCAAGTTCGACATGATTATCATCGTCAGAACTCGAAGACTAAATTCTATCTGATATGCGATTGTGAGCTATATAGTGCTCTCTGATTTTGAGAGGTTTGCCAGTCGATGTCATCCCTTAGTGAATTCTACCTTCGAATTAAATGTTTATATGCGTACCAATCAAATAAGAAAATACATATTTTCTTATGCTTTTTGTATATATTACCAGTGTTGCAAAAGTAGATAATATATATTTCTCGCATTATTTTGTTTGTGTAAGAGGCTTGAGTAAGAGGAGTCACCAAAATATCACTGAATCCCAACGAAGTCACTAGTTAACCTGAAGTATGTCTATTTCTAGTGGTTGACCATTAGACAGTGAGTTGTCTATCGAATTTCGTCAGGGTAAAAGATTAAAATGGTTCAAATGGTTGTGGACGGAATGTAAGAAGCTTTTGCTTAACGGGCTTCCGTGTCTTGTAGCAGTGAATCATGAATACCTCCATGCAGAAACCTAGTTGTAATAACGACAAGAGATTAGAAGGAAATTGGTTAATCATAGTAGGATTAGGTCAATTTTTCTCCTAAAGAACTCCCGGAAAGTCGTTTGTTCTAGCTTTCCCGAAAGCGAATTCGAGCATTTGACAACTCTTAAGGAGTAAAAGTTGTGTCTACAGTCCGTTCTGCTGTGTTGTACCTCTAATTTCTTGGAGTTACCCGTGCGGTTTTTGTTTGAGTTAAACCTAAGTAGGTGTTTGAGGGGATATCCAGAAGTGTTAAGGATACTGTAAGCCACTGAAAGGTCAACTCTAGGACGCCTATGCTCTAATGGGTACAGGTTTAGTGAATGGAAGCGCTTATCATAAGGCTTGAATCTGAGTCCTTGAACTGATTACGTGGCTCGCCGTTGGATACGCTCCTGATGGCAGGTGCTAATTGAATAATGCACACTATGCAACTGGAGCATACAGCAGGTAGTCACTATCGACTGTGTTATTACTCTATTCCCTTTAGGTCAAAACGAATCACTTGTGTCGTATGACTGGGCTTGTTCTTTAAAAATCCCAAGGAATAAAGTTAAGCAAGACATCAGGTTTAGTAAGTTTTTCGGTCACATTAAATAGACAAGCAATACTGATCAAACGTTTGATTTTTCTAAATTTTAGTTCTTTGAGCCGATTTCCGCCTTTTACTATTTCATTCATACCTTTATTTGCTGAAAAATTTCAATTGTGAGATTAGCAGCTTCAAGGGCGAATGTTAGCCTTGTCACAAGGTGAAAATAACCGGTTCTTATAAGTGGCAACGAAGATGTCGACGTTTGACAGAAAAGCTGAATTAGAGATGAAGAAAGCGAAACTAGCTATTCTTAGGGAAAACAAAATTAAAAGAGACAAGGTGAAGATTGATGGAACAAATGGGGGAACTCAGGATAACCTCAACAACTATGGTTCGGCCCAAGTTCTTAGGATTGAAACTGAAGAGTTATTAAGAACTCTTGGGATTGCTGTTTCTGATGAACCGTTGTCTCAGGTTTCAGACGATCGTATTCTCTCTAAAGGGACTTCGGATCCACCACAGTAAGCTTAAATTCCATCACTGCTACTCTTTAAGTACGAAAACGGATAGCCAGAAAAAACGCAAAAGTTTGGGGTTTTCTCAAATAAACGAAATCAGTGTTCCTCCGAAAGAGAATATATCTTATTCTAAAATCACTCAAACATTTGAGTCTTACGTCCCACAACATGGTATGTCTCTTTTGTTACATATTCTCACTACTTAGTTACTAGTGGCGTTCGTACTGGTAAGTTATTAGCTAGGGAAACTTTATCATAGATTCTCCACGCGAGGTTATAGGTTCTCCAAAGTTCATGACTCATTTAGAATGGGATGACGAATTTTCTACTGGTAAGCCGATCATTTTCATATACATGTATATTGTTTGTATTTGATTTACTTGAAATAAGCACCTTTGTCACCCAAGTGTTTTGCAGGTTTGTTTACATCAGTGTCACTCCTTTGGTGTGGATGTATACGTACTATGGACTTATGGTACTTTTGACGCTTTTACTATTTGATACGAAATTTATGTATGTTCTTCAAGCCATTCTTAATATATCAAAATTGTTCTGATGGACAAATTACGTCAAGTTTATTATCTTTTGGTTAATCTTTATTACCTTTGTTTTGGTAGAATATTTTCAGTGTGATGTTTTCCTTATTCTAGCTCTAAGTTTTGATGCATCGGTAAATGATACTCTTGATATGACTGCTGTAATCAATGAAATACACAAAATGCCACTGGTTAGTTCAATTGCTGCTACAAAGACTCCTGTAGATACAGAAAGAGAGAACGAACATTTGAAGCCACTAAAAGGTAAGTATTTTAATCCAAGATTTTTTGTGGCGATGCTTTAATATATGGACGAACATTGAAGGAATCTTAACTGATCTTGGCAATTATTAGCCAATCAGAAGGCAGTTGGTATAAAGTAAAAATATATTATAAGGAACTAATGAATTACAGTGGATATTCTTCTGCGTGATTTAAAAACTTGTTAAGGTTTGATAACGGTTCAGATGTTCTGAAATCATAATGCATACGATATAGGAACTCGTCCATATAGCTCCATAATAGTCGTCCTCTGGCGCCGTGGTACGGTCTTAAAAATTCCTTCAATCTCGACCACATGGCTTCAATGTTGTTAGTATGAACGCCGGTAGTAGGGTACAGTACAGTGTGCGGACTATTGTGGTGAGATTGCATTTCGTTGTTCTTTATGTTGGAGAAAAAAGTCTGCTCGAACGGGGACTTTCTTCTCTCGATCGCGACTGAGACTGAGGCAAATCATGATAATGGTTGCAAATTGGATTATAAAGGCACCAGTAATACTGGCTGCGGCGTTTGCAGATGTTACTGAAACTTCATCCGTCCAGTGGTATAATTATTGTCGCGATATATGTGCACTAAAAATGACACGTCTACACGAATCATTCTGAGGAGTCGGAAGTATTGTGGAAATAGATGAAACAGTAGTGCGAAAGCGAAAATACAACAGGGGACGTAGTATCAAGGAAGATTGGGTAAGTAGCACTCCCGTAAATGTACTTGACAGGCACTTGGAACTTATGATCGCTCAACGCAAAAGGGGCATTTCCAGAGGGTGAGAAACCGTCAAGCAAGCACAATAATACCAATTTTAAAGGAATAAGTACAGCCGGGCACTACGGTATATACAGATGATTGGAGAGCGTATGGATGCCTTCATAGACTTGGGTATGTCAGTCATGTCGTAGTGCATAAACGCCATTTTGTCGACCCTACTACCGGCGTTCATACTAACAACATTGAAGCCATGTGGTCGAGATTGAAGGAATTTTTAAGACCGTACCACGGCGCCAGAGGACGACTATTATGGAGCTATATGGACGAGTTCCTATATCGTATGCATTATGATTTCAGAACATCTGAACCGTTATCAAACCTTAACAAGTTTTTAAATCACGCAGAAGAATATCCACTGTAATTCATTAGTTCCTTATAATATATTTTTACTTTATACCAACTGCCTTCTGATTGGCTAATAATTGCCAAGGTCACTTAAGATTCGTTCAAGGTTCGTCAATAAATTAGAGTCTCGCCGATTGGTTTTTATGTCTATTGACGAAAAGTAAGTACCTATTTCTATCACCTAATTTCTAACAGTAAAAAGCTCAGTACGAAAATTTCTATTCAAAGTTAGTTAAAACATATCCATTTGTGGCTTACTAAAATTTCCAGGTACAACTCACGCTCAGTATAGAGTACGTTAGTTGTTGCAAACTATAAGAAATATAGAAATACAGTAACTTGGTTAATGAACTAGGAAAAAGCCAACGTAACAAGTTATAACAAAATGGGATAGTGTAGAGTAATTATGTCTGTCACTTTCAAGAAGATGGAGTATAGATTGTATACTAAGTGACTAACTGAATAATATTCTGAAACCAGTGTGTTGATGATTTATAGATAAAGGCAGTGCAAGGAGTTCTGAATTTATTTTATTTTTAGCAATATATGGATCCAAAGTTCAACAAAATAGGGTTTCTTTGACAAGGTTCATTTTATTACTAATCCAGAGTAGTTACATTACCAGTATTGGATATCGTGACTGTACTTGATTCATGTTTTATAACTCCTTTTCGTATGGTGGTTTGGATATAAATTGCTAAATCTACTCGTTTATTTGATAAGGCGAGCCTTAATATATTTCATTGTTAGGATAGGGTTCTTTCCCTTAATTTTTGTGCTGATGCGGTATGGCAACTTGGACTGATGCATATATGTGCCTAGCCCTACGTTGTAACTTACTGACTAACCGGCTTCCCTTTAATTCTTAGAAAACCTAATTTAAATTTTTTAAAACCAGTAATATGCTTTATACACGAGTTTCACGGCTAAACTACATGATTGTTGCTGCAATTTTAATGTTACTTGTAAAAGATGCAGTAATTGTTGAATCTGTAAAAAATGGTTACACGTAAATATACAGGTATCTAAGAGAATCCAAGTTTTGTCGGATTAAACATATGAGTGCTGACTAAAGTTTTATAGTACTACCTATCAAGTGTTCCTACTTTCATGAAATCAATTGTTTAGTCAAGGTCAGCTTAACAACATTCCAATGTATGAATTTTTACTGCATGAAGGAATCCCTTTACAAAGTAGAGAGACAAGTTTAAGAACATCTGTTTTGTGTTTATCATAACTCACTGATAAATTTCTAAATACTGGTTAATTCAACTGCTTTAGTTACCAGACGTTGTTTTATCAATTAGAGCATAAACTCTTTTGAAGAGTTGAATATTTTCTGAAAATCATTGCCAGATAAGTACTTATTCGTAGTATAACTCCTAGGTTACTCAGAGTAATCATACTACAAAAATGAAAATAAAACGATATTGTAAAGAGCCGAGTTTCTTAGTGCTGCAAACAAATAGAAATTAAAGGCCTTTTCAGGGTTACAACAGTATGTTTTCAAAAGAAACTTTCATGTTAAAGTTTTCAGACCAATTAAATTACTAAACGTATCAGATGTAAATATTTACTATATTTCAGATCGAGAATGCTTCCAATCCATATACTTGAGTTTCATTAACTTGTTGGCTTGAATACAGGAAACTGAATGAAAATTTGACAAAAATCATAAAGCTTGTGACCGAACTTAGTCGAATCAGATTGGTAAATCTTCGTAACCTATATTTGGTATCTTAGGTGGTAGGGATTCAGATTTATCTTTGATACTGTCCAAGATATGTTGGAATTCCATCAAGATATGTTGGCCATCGACGTCTTGGACGATGGGCAGAATTTTTCAAAGGGCAGTTCAACTGGCCTGCTGCTCCGGCAACATCGGTCAGACTGTCCTGCCCTCCATGGCCGGTGAAGACTGATCCACCAAATGAGGAGGAAGTCCGCAAGGAACTTCAACTCTTGAAGCGTTACAAATCACCCGGCCTAGATGACTTACCTCCGGCTCTTTTTAAAGATGGTGGTGACTTTTTGACTAAGGAATTGACGACGTTGTTTACAAAGGTTTGGGAACTAGAGAGTGTACCAACGTCATGGAATGAGTCGATAGTTGTCCCTATCTTTAAAAAGGGTTCACGTCGTTCTTGTAACAACTATCGGGGGATAAGTTTACTTCCGATTGCGTCCAAGCTATTGGCTTCCGTCATTCTTCGTAGGTTGTTCAAAACCCGAGAAAGATTGATTCGCGTGGAGCAGGCTGGGTTTCGTTCTGGTCGAGGATGTATTGATCATATCTTCACCCTCCGCCAAATGTTAGAACACCGCCATACTTTTCAAAGGCCAACAATCGTAGTGTTTCTTGACATCAGGGCTGCCTTCGATTCGTTGGATAGGACTGTTCTCTGGGATTGTCTATTGAAGAAGGGTGTACCTGAGAAGTTTATTAACATCCTAAAAGCCCTATATACAAACACCTCAGGCAGAGTGAGGGCATACAACCACCTCTCTCCATTGTTCCATTCGAGCAGTGGGGTTAGGCAGGGTTGCCCAATCTCACCATTCCTCTTCAACTTTGCCATCGATGACATTCTGGAAACAGCTCTGATGAATGTAAGTAATGGTGGTGTGGATCTGTTGCCTGGAGAACGACTTCTCGACCTTGAGTATGCGGACGATATTGTCTTACTGTGCGATAATGCCCAAGGCATGCAATCCGCACTTAATCAGTTGGCAATCAGTGTCCGTAGGTATGGTATGTGCTTTGCACCTTCGAAGTGCAAAGTACTTCTACAAGACTGGCAGGATTTCAATCCTGTACTCACCCTGGACGGTGAGCAGATAGACGTAGTTGAGAAGTTCGTGTATCTGGGTAGCTGCATAAGTGCTGGTGGCAGTGTGAGTGATGAGATCAATGCACGAATAGTGAAAGCCAGAGCGGCTTATGCCAATCTGGGCCACCTTTGGCGCCTTCGTGATGTTAGTCTGGCTGTAAAAGGCCGGATCTACAACGCGTCGGTGAGAGCAGTTTTGCTCTATGCTTGTGAAACCTGGCCTCTCCGAGTTGAGGACGTTAGACGACTCTCTGTGTTCGATCATCGCTGTCTCCGAAGGATTGCTGACATTCAGTGGCAACACCAAGTCAGTAATGCAGAGGTTCGGCATCGTGTGTTCGGGCACAGAGATGATAACTCAATTGGTGTCACCATCTTGAAACACCGACTTCGGTGGCTTGGACATGTCCTCCGAATGTCGTCCCAGAGAATTCCACGTCGTGCATTATTTGCCGACTCTGGGACTGGTTGGAAGAAACGGAGAGGTGGTCAGTGCATGACATGGTGTCGTGGCATGAAAGAAAGCTGCAAAGGACTGGCTTGTGTTGGTCCTTCACGACTCCCTGGTTGGGGTCCGAGAGATGGTGCTACACAGTGGCTAGAGACGTTATCAGATATGGCTCAGAATAGAAGCCAGTGGCGATCCTGCTATAACCTTCTTTTACTTTCTTCATAAAAAGTGGTTGTGTCTCCTTTACCTGAAAGATTTCTTCTGATTGTACCTCTTCGTCATTACTCTCTTTTTCTTTTGCGTTCCTTGGTTTTTTTCTTTTTACTTCTCTTCGAATTCCCATTGTTTTATGTGGCGCATATATATTGGCGCTCTCTTGTACCAATATTTATGTGTTCAAATAAAAATAAAAAATAAATAAAATAAATAATAAAATAAAAGATATGTTGGGATTAATAATATCTTAAGTCTGATCGTTTTCATTGATAGTTTCATGTGAAAGAAAGACTGAAATCCCTCAAAAACAACTATAGTAAATATTTGTTTGGGGAATATTTGCTGTGGAATCTTGATATATAAAATCACTCAGATCAGTAACATCAGTTGGACTTGTAAACGGTGGTTAGCAAACAATTCTTAGACTAATTTTTCCATTTGTCCACCAATTCTGTACCTTTTCAGGCCTATTCATTCTTCGTCTAAATCTTTCACTAGCATGTTATTTTTTGATTATATGGATTTTTTTCTCCCATTTATCCATCTATTCTCTCATTGTATTTATTTTAATATGTTGTTGAGACTAATGATAACTGCGATTAGGCTATATTTCTTCACTTTTATATTTGAACAAAACCTAACTAAAGTACACTCATTTTCTTTCAATCAAAAAGAATGAATAATTTTTGCAAAGCTTTTACTTTGTTGGTTTCATGAAGTTGACCAAAAGTAATTAAAATAATTCATATTGCGCAAATAATAGGATGCCATGGGATTTACCCTCACATTTTATTCGAACTGTACAGAATTGTGCTGATCATTATTTTTGCTCACAAATATAACACATTAGGAGTGCATCTAGTAAAGTTCGCTAGCGAATGTGTGGCCATCTCCAACTGCTTTTGATCGAAATCAAGAAAAGAAATTTCGCATAACCTATACTTCGATTTAAAGAGATTCAAATGGAAAAATTATTCTAGTAATAATGTAGTTCCTCATATACAGGTCGTAGCTATTTCTGTGGTGTTAAACTGTTGGTTACTGTTTGACTACCCAGTAACTTTTCAGTTGTTAGTACTGTTTATCAGGTTGCACTATCAATAATGAAGCTGGTTATGTGAATTTAGTAGTTTTTCCAAATATTTAGGAAAACTCATAGTTTTTGTATATGACTAGATTTCTTGCTATTTTTGCTCCTTAAATGTATCTGTAAAATTATCCTCATTCTATTGTATTCCATTCTTGGTTTGTACAGTAATACAACTCACAGACGAGGAAAGAGATGCAATTATGAGATCAGATAGATTTCATCGTTTCTTTGACAGGGCATCACGACTGATAGAACGAGCATTAGATGAACCTGCAGATATATTTATTGATTATAGTGGTGGAGATCATGATGATACCGGGTATGTGTAGTTTCATTTTTCCTTTAACATTCAAAGGTATTGATCTTTTACGCTTATCACCTGCAATTTAACAGGTTTTAACTAGTTATTTGGTATTTTTATCATTTATGTTTCATGTGCAAGAGTTAGTTGTGAGTGTATTTATATTAATAGAACAAATGAATGATAGTTAAGTTTCTTGGCTTTTCTAAGTGTTCTCGTTTATTTAAAATGTCTTCAATGATTTTTTTGATGTTGAATGACTAACCTCAGATTGTATCTTTATGTAATAATCAAATCAGCAAATAACTGACATATATGATTAAATATAAATAAAAATAATATATTTGTAATATCCCAATGAGTAGAAAATCCAATTTTCTACTCATTGTGATATTACAAATATATTATTTTGATTTATAACAATCAACCCAATGCTCAATTTATTCGAAATTATCAAATCAAACCTTGGTAATGACACCTACAAACTCATATATGATTAAATATTTCACTTTTCTATGCAAAGTTTTTTACTAAATACTAGGGTAAGTTAGTAATCCGGGCCACAATCAGTATCAAAATGAAAGTATATGTAATATTTGTGTATGTATTCTAAGAGTAGTTAAGACAAATTATTTATATAATTATTTTCAGTTTGTTATATTAAATTGTATATTACTGCTATTTTTTATCTTGTCATGGAATTTCACATAACAAGGTGATTTTTATGCACCAATCGTTGGTAAATCTTCCTGCTCATGATGATTCAAACTGTAGGTGTAAAAAGTGTGGTAATTGACTAAGTTTTTGTCAAGCAATATATTATTTATCTGTCATAAAATATTTATTTCAATAGTTGAAATCATGAGTCAATTAAACCTAGACCACCATGGAAAACCTGGAAGCACTGAACGGCCGTTTCGTCCTATTGTGGGACTTCTCAGCTGTGCGCATCCACGATCCCGCACCCCGCGAGATTCGAACTCAGGACCTATCAGTCTCGCGCGCGAGCTCTTAACCATTAGACCACTGAGCTGGTCGGCATCCAACGGTGTTAATGTCTAACTTCAACCAATCCACGAAGCTTTGCCACCGTACACAATTGTCTTCAGTGAGTTGATATCTGACAACAGACATGGTTGAACTCCACCTTTAACAGCTTCTCACTAGAACTCCAGGAAATGCCTCTTGAAGTCAGACACTAGTGAGCAGATGATTATTATTAGAAGTGGTTTTGTGGAGATTTTTAGAAAGTTCAATAGTTGAAATCATGAGTCAGTTGAAGCGCTCGCGCGCGAAACTGATAGGTCCTGGGTTTGAATCTCGCGGGGTAGGGGATCGTGGATGCGCACTGCTGAGGAGCCCCACACTAGGACGAAACGGCCGTTCAGTGCTTCCAGGTTTTCCATAGTGGTCTAGCTTTAATTGACTCATGATTTCAATTATTGAAATTTCTAAAAATCTCCACAAAACCCCTTCTAATAATAAAGTATTTATATTTACGGGTATATCTTGATTATATACAGATTCTGTGGACAATACTATAAAATTAGTGTTTAGTGTCGGGATGAAGATAAGAGTCCTTATGTGGTTTTCCGTTGTATATTGGATTTCTGTGTGTTTGGAATTGTTTGGTGATTAACTTGGATATGATATTTTATTATTTCCTTTCTTGAAACATCTTAGGTATAATTAAACAAGTTTGTAAGCAAAGGAATTTTATGCTTAGTGTTTATTTGGTTTGTTAACTGTTGTCATTCGTATGTGAATGTTCTTTAATATTTGTAAACGCTTTGGATGCAGGGTTTGTTGGGAATACTGGATCTTCAAATACACCATATTAGATAGAAATCAATTTTAAAATTCACGGATTGATTTAAAATAATTCTTTCTGTCTGGCTTTCATTCAATTTTCATTTGTATTGATTTTTTTCAATCTGAAACTAATTGCTTGATTTTTTTAAAGCATCCTCATTTTATTCATAAATTCACTGTGATTTCGTACACGAGTAACGATTAGTGAAACTGATAAATTTTGTGTTTAACAATCGTTGAATTTAATCGGTATATAATTACATTAACTCAAATTTAAGTAAATTCTTCATGGATCTTGACCAATACACATACTTTATGAGACTTCTATCTGTTCCAGTCGCGCGGGAGATTATCATTGAAGTTGTTGGGATGTTCAGGAAAATATCCCGTTCTTACGTGTTTGCGCGTCTTTGGTCCGATCGATAATTCGCTGTCCTCTGATCTACAGCATCACAGTTATAGCAGAAGTGTTATGTATTAGTCGTTTGATCTGTCCAGTTTTCATAAAACCTATTACATATTGTTAGGAACTCCCAGTCTCCTATAGTTCAAAATTACCTCATCTCTCCAATCTCGATTCTCATAGGGTTTCGAGAATTGAAATCTCGTTCTATTTTCTACTGAGGCCTGATTGTAAAATCTGTGACTTACTCAATAAGTGTAGATTAGCATGTAGTACATAAATTTGTTGGACGTTACTAAGTTTCATTAAAATCTGTACGAATTTCAGCCGTGAATACGTCTTAGATACCCACCTTTCAACTATTGGATGGAAGATTAAAATTTAGATTCGCCTACCGAAATTTTCAAGATATTTTCTCTTAGGAAGTATCACATAAAGGTTTTTATCCTACGCCTTTAGATTTATTTTTGGTATCAAATTTGTTAACTATTATAAAATTAAAAAGGTTCTTTCGTTTTAATAATCGATGCCTTAAAAAATCGTTTTCCCGCTTTCGGACAATTGAATCATCAGAGCGAAATAGATAATAATGGTGATGAGCCAGTAGGGACGATTGGTGCCAGTATTATATCTTCCAGATCATTTTTTCTTGAAATAGGTTTATAATAAAATATTAGTTAAATCAGAACACTAAACTATTTCATAAAGTGTTTCATTATTAATCAGGATAATGGAAATAAGGTGTAATTTAGCTCTCTCTCCTTATGTCCAGGTTCCTGCATTAGGTTATGAGCTGTATACGCATTAACTGCAGTATGCACAACAACAACACCATACCGGTAAGAATCTAGGTAGTGGAAGGTTAGATTTTTAAATTCGAACCTACAAGATACTAAATATTGATAATCAAATCTAATCACACTTCATTTCGTTGTATTATCATAAATTCTTTGTTTCTTTGAATTCATCCTATCGTTAGTATATGGTGTTAAGTGATGAAGTTAATGAGTTGCTACTGTTGATATCTGGTAATGGTTTCCTAAACATTTGAAAACAGCACTGCAGCTGTATAGTTTTGGCTTTGAGTTTAATCTACATGTGAACTATTTTTACTGAAGTCGTTGTTAGCTTAGCTGAGTAAACTTTGTAGTAACTGAAAGCTGTTCTATTACTATTGTCATTAATTACGGTTTAATGGTCTAAGGATTTGACTTTAAGTCATCGCGTCATGTGTTTAAAATCCACTCTGGGTTCGAAGTTTTGGACAACCGACTAGTATTGTTCGTTTTCACAGAATAAGTTTTGCTTATGTTTCAAGGTATCCATTGCCATATGGTTTCATTCGTCTTCTGTTTCATTTGATAATAAGTAATTATTTCCAATTTTGAATTTCTTATAGAAATACCCAACGTCATCAACTTGTAAGATTTGGTCGTGACTTTTTTGATGATCGGTGGTCAAGAAGACGCCTAGTCACAGCATTGGATTGGTCACCAATTTTTCCTGAGTTACTTCTTGGTGCTTATCATGCAAATGATGAAGCTCCACATGATCCTGATGGAGTATGTTTAGTGTGGAACTTGAAATTTCAGAAAACAACTCCAGAGTATATTTTTCATTGTCAGTCTGCTGTTACTTCAGCAACCTTTGCAACTTATCATCCAAATTTGATTATTGGTGGGACATATTCTGGACAAATTGTATTGTGGGATAATAGGTATCTGTACGGTATTTTGTTTGTTTCTTGTTACGTCCTAATGGATTTTTTGTTTGCTAGCATTGTCAAGTCATACTTTATATTTCCTGGCTCTTTTATAGTAGTCAGCTACTCATTAACCGTTTATGTATGGTTGCAAATATTTTGCGCAAACTGACGGATGTTATTAAATCACCACACGCTGTATAGGTCCTTTTTGAACACAAACACAAAAATAGCTTCATTCTTGGATTATGGAGCAATCATTTTTTCCATACACTTGTAGATAGTCTAGTCACTTTGAAAGAGCTAACGGTTTCATATATATCCTCATTTTGTGTAGGTACTTGCAATGCGACTTATTTAAACCCAATCATATACAGATAAAATTTGTCAGATAGCACACTGATAATGTCTGTTCTATGTTGCAATGCTGACAAGTGTTGAAGACGGTTGGAAGAAAGTTAGGGGCAGCCAAACCAAAACGTGTTAGCAATCCTCGAAGTCACTAACTTCTAGTCTTAGCCATGTTGGTAGATACAGACTACTTGGTTGGGGTCCGCATGATAAAGAAACCCCTGCTTTTCAAACGAATGATTCTACCCATTGGTTAGATAATTGACTTATTCAAGTTCCAAACTAGCACGACACCATGTGTCGTCGGTGTTTGGTTAAGGCGATTCAGTTGGTAGTAGGATTAAACATACTTCACTAGATTAGGTCAACTAAAATGCATAGTTTCCCATTTCCATTATTTTTTTATTTTGATTGAACCCTGAAATATAATGTATAAGTCCGTGTTAAGCTACTAGTTTTTGACGGATGATGTGAGTTTGAATCCAGTTGCATGTGGTGTACAATGTTTCACTTTGACCGCTGTAGCTAATAATATCCAATCCATGTTTTTCCAGTCACTTCTACCCGTATTCAGTTTGACGATTATATGCTATTAATATTTAACCTCATGTGTTCTTGTATGATATACATTTATTTGATAAATGTTATCGTTCTACAACACTACTGTCTCGGATATTTTTTAACTTTACGCATAAAACAAAAAAGAACCGACCTTTTCATACGTTTGCTCCATATATCTGGTTATCTATTTTTATGATAATTTGACTCATATACAAATAATTCATTTCAATTTTACATCTATTTGGACTTGGTTGGAAGTAAATTTTCATATTTAGTATTGAGTAGACATTAAGAGCAATAGAGTATTTCGTCGTGTAAATGAACCTATTCTGTAGTTCAAGTTGTTATTACCACTGTATAAATACTTTATAGCTTGTGTAGAGTTTAATCTCCGCACTATAAATTTACTCACAGTTGGTGTACAGCTATGTTATCCTATGAATATTATAAATCAGTTTATGTTTTGCCTTTTAAATCCAGATTATTTGAGGTCTTATAAAGTGGAGAGAATCTCATCATTACTTTATTATCATTATCAGTTTTTGTTATCAAGTGTGATATTTTACTCGGATTTCATTTCTCTTAATTTATATTTTAGATCAACCAAGCGAACACCGGTACAACGGACACCATTATCAGCAAGTGCACATACACATCCAGTTCATGCAGTTATGATTGCAGGATCATTGAATGCACACAATTTGTTAAGTATAAGTTCTGATGGAAAATTATGTACATGGAGTTTAGATATGCTGGGTCAACCTCAACAAGCCATGGAATTAACACATAGGCAAGCTCGTACTGTAGCTGCAACATGCATGTCATTCGTAGATGAGAATGTTAACAATTTTTTGGTTGGGTCAGAAGATGGACGAGCTTATGCTGGTTCGCGGCATGGAAAGTAATTTAAAGCTTTTTTTAAACAATTTATATGGATTATTTAAAAAAGAAATACGGATTAAAATTGAAACTTACACGTAGCTTTCACTCGTAACTAAAATTCATGGTTGCTATATTATATCCTTACTTTTTTCCTATCATTGAGAACTTACAAATTATATTTCACTACAGATTTGAACTTTTATTTGACCAACTCAGGCAATTAATATGCTGGACTAAATTTGAATCTGGTGTATACCATTTATCTCCTTGTAGTTAGTTAATTCGTTATCATAGTTTATTACATAACCTTTTATCCAAAAAGTACATTTCTAATAATTAAATTTTTAACAAAATGAAACAAAATAATCAGTTAATCCTGTTGATATAGAAGATGCTTGCTTCATCAAGTGGAAAATAAAAATAATAACGTTGAATTTATCATCAAGTTCATCTGTTTAAATTCCTTTTCTTCTTAATAACGTATAAAGAAAAAATCAATAAAGACAGAGTAATAATAAAATGAAAAAGAATATGATTAATGATGTTTGATTAATTGATCAGCAAACGAATGATCCAGAATTGGACAAAGGTAAACAATGAACTCGCCCGTGCTATTTTAGTAGACTTCATGTTATGTCGTCTAACATCTCCAACCATTAATTTTTACTTTCCATAGAGCCTCATACAAAAGGCCTATGTATGACTCTTCCAAGAAGCTAATGACTTCATGAATTGTTGTCTCTTTTTGACCTAAGATTATTCACACCTCTAAATATCAATATATATATCAAAATAATCTGAATGAAATTGCTGGATAAAAAATATTTATAAGTGCATTTTTAGCAGATATGTGTTTAGCCTTAAAACTTAATAAAGCAAATATACATCACAGCAAAAAGAAGAATATTTTCAGTCTGTTGACAGGTATTAATACTGGCTGTATATGTGTGTTAGTAGGGAAGTAAAAGGATTTTAAAAAAGTACAAAACATGAAAGTGATAATATTTGCAACATGTTAGTCAATCTCTAATTTTCAGATGGAAAGAATAATCAAAGATTTTAAGTTTACTTGATTTTGTTGTGGATTAACGTTTAGTGTAGACTTTCTAATTTAGATATAGTGAAGTTGTCTACGATGATTTATACAAAACAATTACTTTACTTCATCCTTTTTTGTATAAGTTGGTAGATTGAACATTGTGTTTTAGAAAGTTTGGAGGCGAAACTATAATTAATGAACGAGCCAATCAGATTTAGGGTAACAGGTCTTGGATTTTGGCGCAACATTCATTCATCCATTCGAATAAGTAACGTTTCGGCATTTAAGCTGATGTCAGTTCATGATGAAAACCGTAAATCTAATCCCTAACCCTAACCACCAACCGTAATTCATTCTAATTCCTCACACTAGCTTTTAACCCCCATGTAGTCCTAGCTGTTAGGTAGACATTCTTAAGGTCTCTTTAGCGTCACTCAAATGTCGTCTATAAATTATAGTCTTATCGATAGTTATCCTCTATGTTTTACCCAATACTTTTCATCCATCTAACATGACTAGTTTTTTTCTATTGGAATATATAACAAGACGTTTTATTATGCAGTGATTTTCCGGAATCAGGGTTTCCCAACTCCCTTAGGTGAATCCTCCCTTTCCACCAATCCAGTTAAAGCGCCGGACATTCGCTTTTCGTCTTCTCAATTTCGTAAACAACAACCCTGCCACGAGAAGGCAGTGAGTAGCACTTCCACGGCAGTGGTCGTATGTACGTGGCCTTGTGAGAGCATTTCGAAAGGGAGAGCTGACTCTCCCCACCCTCGGCCTTCTAGTGCATTTAGGGGTATTTTATTTAGTGATTAGGAGTTGTGATCATATGTACAGTATGGATTATATATTTTACATCTTGTTAATCTGCGTTGTCGATACCTTGTGTTTTTTAGTCAAGCAGGTATCAGCGATGCTTTTGAAGGTCATCAGGCTCCTATCACATCAATTTCATCTCATCCACTCAGAGATTCTGTGACAATTTCACCACTGTTTCTTACTACTTCTCTTGATTGGTCCATAAAACTGTGGTCTGTCAAGGAAACTCGTCTTATATGTTCATTTGAAGAAGCTTCAGATTATGTTTTTGATGCTCATTGGTCGCCTATGCATCCAGCAGTATTTGCAACTGTCGATTGTACAGGAGGCCTTGATTTATGGAATTTAAACCAAAACAGCGAAGTAAGTTTTTGATATTGTTTTCTAGATATTTTCATTTCTTGAAGTATTCTTAAAAGTATTATTACTTACCTTGAACAAACTAATTCTGTCCCAATAACATCTTTTCAAGAACTAAATAAATAGTTAATCAAGGTAATCAATACGTATTTTTGTTCCGATTTATTAAGCCATTCGTTCTTTTCAGCTATGAAGTAGTATTAATGAATGAATTTAAAAATTGCTTTTATCCACTCATACATATTTGGGATTTCCTGGAAAAAATATATACCCAATGAATCGGATTTTGAATAAATTCATTCCATTTTTGTAAATGAAGTATTAATTTCCGATTGTTCCTCTGTTTATGCAACAGTTTAATGAACAAGAATGATTCAATTGTGTATGACTGAAAACATTTTCTCAATTCATGATTACGTTAATGTAAATTTTCTAAATGGAGATTCCATTGTCTTAATTAAGGTTCACATCCGAATATCCATTTTGGCTTACCAAGCCGGAAATCACGTGCATAGACTAAGTCAGCTGCTTTGAATTCTCGAATCTTGGGGCAATTCTCGTCCCTATTTTTTTGTAGTCCACTCATTCTGTCTTTCGGGTACAAAACATCAAAAAATGTCCTAATTGGTCAGCCAAATATTATTTTGGCTGGTGATTTAATCATATTGCAGACAGTGCTCAACGACGTTCCCATAAACCAAATTTATTTATCCGATCAATAAGTTGGTATGACAGATCCCAGATACATAAAATTTTCCGGTCATAGTCTTGTCACCTAATGTGAGAGGTAGCTGCAATTTTCCAAGACGAGTAATGTTAGTTCCTGTCGCACTCTTAGCATTATAATGTGTAGGTTGATATTGAGGTCGACCAAGTGTTATCCAAGGCTCTCTAGAAATTAATGTTATGTCAAACTCTGTATCAATTTTCAGCTTGACCGGTTAACCATTAAACAAGATAATTGCGTTCTTCCTGTTAGATGGAAATTGAGCACCTTTTGTGACCAAAACAACATTCAAATTATGTTGTATCTCTAGATGGTAGTTGGAGGTAGTTGACAGGAAACCCTGGACCCGGGTGTCGTGCTACTTGGCGCTCGTTGGTAAGGTGTATCTGTAATCTTGAGGGAACTGATGCTCCCTGACGAATTCGATCCCGTGTCACCCAGCTTCACAGTCAGAGATGTTACCAGCTGGCAAATACATCCGATTGAGGACCAGTGTCATAAAAGCCTACCTAATCTCCCACTTTCTCTTTGTTCTATTGTTTGACTGAATTGTGATTACCGCGACATCTGACAGGAAGCACAGAATAGAATGGATAGGTTGGATGCAACTAGACGATTTGTACTTCGCAAACGACCTGGCCCTTCTATCCCATACACATCAAGAAACGCTGGTGAAGACGACCAGAGTAACAGCAGCCCCTGCATAAGTAGGCCTCAATAAACACAATGGAAAAAGCAAGATCGTCAAATACAACACGAAGAACATCAACCCAATCACACTTGATGGGGAAACTCTGGAACAGGTGGAAACGTTCACGTACCTGGGCAGAATCATCGATGAACATGGAGGATCTGATGCAGCCGTACAGACGAGGATTGGCAAATTAAGGACAGCATTCCTATAATTGAAGAACATACGGAACTCAAAATAACTGTCAACCAATACCAAAGTGAGAATCTCCAATATATTTCTAATGTACGGAGCCGAAACTTGAAGAACTACTACAACTATCGTTATAAAAGTACAAGTATTTACAAACAATTGTCTACACAAGATACTCAGTGTCCGTCGTTGGCCGGATACTATCAGCAGCAGCCTATTGTGGTAGAGGGGAAAGCAGCTTCCAGCTGGATAAAATATTAGGAAGACGTCGGAGGTTGATAGAACATACATTACAGAAATCATCAAACTGCGTCACAAGGTAAGCGCTAACTTGGAATCCCGAAGGAAGACAAAAAAGTGGAAGGCCAGAGAACACATTGCGTTGAGAGTTGGAAGCAGACATGGAAAGGACCAATAGCAACTGGGAAGGACTGCCCAGAACAGAGTTGACTGGAAAATGATAGTGGGCGGCCTATTCTCTTTTATGAGGGGTAAAATGCCTAAGTATGTATGTAATTTAGTAATTACTGATACAGTAGTGAAGGAAAGCACAAGTGAGGACAACCGAATTATTTTCAGTACAAAATTACAGAGTTACTTGGTCAAATGGAAAAACCATACTATAATACCTAATTAGCAAAATGTTCAGTAATTGTCTCGGACTTCATTGTTTTTGCATTTCCATACTAATTGCTTTCTATTCCCGTTCTTCCTTTCTTGATCTTCTCAATCTTCTGTTGCCAGACATTACATTCCTGACTCGCGTTATATACTGCTTATGTCAATATAAGTAGCACGCACCACAAGACTAGACTATATGATTATACAGTCATTGTTATTATTACTTGATGACTGATTAATTTTTTATCTTATTGTGAATATTTCGGTTTTGAATATGATTATTTGGATCAGTAAACTACCTTTTCACTTCTGTTTGTAAATAGACTAATTTTTAGTTCTTATTAAATATGGTAATTTAAGATTCAGTTTCATAATAATAAACATATTACCTTGTTTAATTTTTCTTAAATATCCATTGCTTACAATCTATATTGTATCATCACTACCAACAATACAGATGATAATTAGACATTCTTTCATTCATAGTGAAAGGTAGTAATTAATTAGTCAGTCCAGTAATCGATTACGATTGTCAGTAACAAGTAGTGTAATATTGTAAAAATTGTAAGGATGTGGAGTTAAATGAAAGAGTGGTGCCAAACTATTACAATGGCATATATATACATCTATACTAAATATTTTGAAAAAAGCAATAGTAATGTCGGCTTATTCCTGTGGGTGTTAGAATAATGGATTATTGAATTTTGATAGTAGTTGAGTAGTTAAGCGATGAAATTCATCAAACCAAGTTTATCAAAATCAGTGTATTGAAAAGAAACAGTGTAATTTAAACAATAATGTAATCAAATAAAAGGTAGTATTTTAAAGGCAGGTTACAACAACAAAACTAATTATGAGTAATAATTCATTTCATAAGTTTAGTGTCTTCAGTATACTGTAGGAAACTTGTGTTATTTTGTTTGTCAATTAGGACTATTACATTTTTTGTGTTGATCAAACATTAAACAGTTAGACTATTAAGAGTGATTGATCAGCTAACACGTCACAAAATCAAAGAAACATGTTTAGGTTATTCAAGAATGGTATTTTTTCTTTCTTTGTCCTCTTGACATAGTTACTTTGACAGGGGCACATGGTTGGGAAAAGAGATATGTGTAGATTTTTTAAACTTTTAGTTAAAACACAGTGCATTAATGCATTCTCTATGGATGGTAACGACAGACTTTATTTAGCAATTTTGAAATGCATTATTGGGGATTTTTTAACATATCTGATACGAAAAATCAGAACACTGAGGGGGAATCCTGCATTCATCTATTTACTACTTGTAATTCTGGTCACCAATTTATAGTTATATTCTTTTTTAAAAACAGTGGAATTTGAATAAAGTAGATGTTACCATCAAAGGAAGGTAACACTGTAGGTAATAAAATAAATTAAAAATAAGTTTTATGTAAATAGATTGATCACTGAGTTGTAACCGATTTCATGGTGTTTTAGTCCTTAATGCTGATCGAGGTCTATCAGTCATGTTGCAATGTACCCACACTAGTCTAAATGACTATATCACACACACACACACTGTATTAAGATGTTAGGTAATTACGGGCAGTCGGTAAAACATCAAGGTCCAGGGTCTCCTTCTGTGTCTACCTTTAACTACCTAACATAGACTACATCTGGTTACTTTAATGTAATTAATAAATCCGTCTATACTTTTGCTTGTGTATTTTCATATGAATTAAAATGAGTATATATTTCCTGATAAAGTTCTATGCTGAATCAGGCTTTTTATCCACTATAAATAGTTTGGTTGGAAATTTCGTCAGAATAAAACCATTAATTTCACGGCAGGAATAAAACTTTTTGACTTGCGTTAATGAAAGTTTTTTTAAAGAATCCTTTCATGATTGTTATCTCATTCAATTTGTCAATAATATACCTGTTGGGGACGATAGATCCCCAAAACTCAAATTTTGTAATTTACTTATCGATTAAATGGGCAGATAGGTCAATTGATGAACTATCGATTAAATGTACAAATAGGTCAATTGTTGATTAATGTTCAAAAATCTTCCATGACAATATCGATTGTAAATAATTGTATAAATACGCTTGACTTGTATGCTTGATCTGATCTGCCTGCCTGACTTGTTATCTGCTGTTTGTCTGTAGAATACACTTTCTACACCTTGCCCAGACTTCTTGATCGAGTTAGCAGAGTTGGGGACAACGGACCAGAATATGCTATCGAGATTCTGAATCCTTGATCCGATCGATAAGTCACTGTCATATAATCGGCTGTCACTTTGAGCCATAACAATACCATTGATATTATTGCGACATACTTGATAGTTTTATCTACTACAATAATGATATACAATACTGATCTCTTTAAATATTATTATCGAGTATTATGTGTATTTATTGCTATATTATTTTCATTTTTACACATACAAATTATCACTATAGTACAACATATCTAGTTAGATAGTATATCGATCAGAATTGTTACAATTTATTCAATCACGGTAAAGGACAAATTAGATATGAGATAGAATTTGACTCAATGTGAATAGTTGTACCAATATTAGTATAGTAATCAAAGAAAAAATCGAGTGAATATATATACCTGACAATGACTACAGAACAACCTGGATTTTCAAGAATGTGAAATAACATTGAGCGTGAAAATATTTCCACTGATGTAATAAATTTTTATTTATGTCGCCTAATGTTTATTGTTTTTACTGGCTTCAACCTTAAGGTTCGCATCATTTTACATACTTTCGAATATCATAAATATGTCTTGATTTAATCCTAATTTTAAATGTCATTGAGGTACACAGTTAAAAACTATAAATATATTCAAAAATTGTACACTTCCTTTTGAGTAAGATATTATTGGTTGCAAGGCTATCTGTTTACCTATCCATTATCCATAGATAATTAGAAAATCAGTTTGCCTATACTTCATATTTTTGGTGATGTTAATTTTTCTCAGCTGGATGGTTTAATCGCAAGGCTTTCGTTATCGTTCTAGACACCATCACCAACACATCTATTTGAACACAACATCACCAAAACGCCAGCTCATGCTGTAAATCTCTTTCATCATTTCGATATACTTCATATTTACACAATGTAGTCACATCTCGTAAAAGTTGAGGCACTTATTCTATTTTGGAGGGGATTTGAACGTTTCAGCAGTTATTCGAATGTCATCCTTACAAATGTGCTTACTGATAATACTGTAAATGGCATGAAATATGCAATCGATATGCAATAAAATTAAAGTTTGGCGGAAATGCTTATTAATAATCAGTTATAGTATTAATATAAAGAATGAATTAAAATTCAGTGAGTTGATTTCATCGGTACAAAATAAATATAGGAATTCAAGTTTATTTGGGATTATTAAAACGGTTGACGACTAATTAATGATCCCTTCTTTTAATTGTTATGGTATATGTGAATCTGAATAAGATAAAATCGTTATATATATATGGATCACTGTGAATTCAATTTTTGAGGCCTATGATACGATATGAAATATTTTACATATAATGAGATAGTACACACCATTTTAAAATTTGACAATCCGAGCTAGTGCGGATCAACATTTCTTCATAACAAAGAACATTATTTCCATTGGTTCGTGGAATGCCTTTTAAAGGATTTAACAAAATACTCGACCTTTGGAATTTATGAAATATTGGGTTGCATTTATAGAAAAATGATATCTCAATAAAAGTCGCTATCTATAGTACGATGGCTAAATGGTTACTTTTCAAACAAGCTATCAGTATTAATTGTGAGTCAAGTAGACTACATAAAGATTTTGCACAATCGTTTCTCCAGTTGTACTTCACTCATGTTCGGTACACTGAAAGGCGTAGTATTCTTATACTACTTACGTTTAAGAGAACACTATCAAGTCAACTTGTCTTTTATATGTCGGTAAATACATTCTCTAGAAATTTATATTCGATGAAGCAATAGCAAACTTGTTTTGTGTGTTTATGTAACAAACAGTGGATATTTTGAGTATCTGAATTTACATGGCTTAATTTTTTTATCAGGTAGTGATGCTTGATATTGCTTATGGAGGACATGATAGTAGTAATTCTCCTATCAAAAGTAAATAGGGTTTCGACTTGACGTTAGCTGTTGATATCACACGCAATACTGTCATCTCTATGCACTTTGTTCATGTATTTTGTCAATAAATGACTCAACTCATTGGAATTGATGTTTGGCGCCTCTTTATCCTCAATGATTGAGCAACCGATAATTAACTCGATTACGAGACCATATCGAAATTCAATAAAATATTCAATTCAACAGTTTAATCTCTATATATGTATGGTAAGCTTAACACATATCATACTCGTGCATGATAAGATTATGAGCTATACTCATTGAGCGGTTATTAATTAGAGGGTTGCGAACTCACGACTCAGTGGTTAGAATGGAGTCTACAAACAAACATATATAATCACTAATTTGTTCTTAGGTAATAAGATTTATTGGTTTTTCTACAGGTCCCATCAGTTCGTACAGTGATTCCCGGTCAACCATCGTTAAACAAATGTCGTTTCCATTCATCTGGTTCACATATAGCCATTGGTGATGATAATGGACGTATTCACATGTTCGACTTGAATGAAGTAAGTAGAATTATTAAGACATCATTAGTTAGGTATTTCTTTTATATTATTCTTGGTCAGCTATCACTCCAGTTTACGAAACAGCGGGACTTAGCTTAAGCAGTCTATTGTCTTAAATCATCAGGGTCATAAATAGTTGAGAAATGAAAGTTCCTAGGTTTCGTGATGAATGTGCTCACCACGTTCCATAGTATGGATACACCTACCGACGCCAAAACATTTGTAGTTAGGTTCCTGAAATGTTTTGTAAGCGGGAATTTACACGCAGTAATTATATCAAGAATGTCATATAGCGACAAAACTACAATTACTATTGTGTGTGTATCAATGGTCTGCCGGTACCTGAATTGTCGGAGTTGGGAGATAGTGACTTTTTGGTCAGTAAAAGTTGTCATCATATAGATGAATTTTGTGCATGTGTGACGTACGCAGTTACATGGTAATATCATGTTACTTGGAATGTTAGAACTGTCACTCGACAACTGTAGGGATTCTAGCTTGTGACGTCGAGTGTCATAGCTTCGAATAGTTCGCATTGGTCCAGGTAGCTTCACTCTTTATCTTCCCCTCGATTTGGAATCAGCATCTCTTCGTACACACTTTACCAAACCATATTCCCTAGCTTTAGCCTTTCTTTCTATCATTGATACTACATTGCCTATTTTGTTATTTTCATCTCGTCATCGCAGTTGAGCATGGCAACTTACACCAACAGGTAGATGTGCCAGGCTTCTGAGTTGATGTCTGTCTGGTTGCTCTATATTTGTCTGAGGCACTCCATCTAGCGCTACATCACACTAATAAAAACAATAGGATCGGGAAGTATCTTGTAATAAACCCCAATAATATTCCCAAGTGAATACAGTCCCGGTTACATATAGTTGATAACTTCACAAGGAAATATCTGCTTGTTTTTATTCTTTAGACAATGGCAATCCCTCATGCAGACGAGTGGACGATGTTTTCACATACAATTAGCGAACTTCGACAGCTTGCGGTCGAACAGAAAGAGAACGATACCGATGCTTTGTTTGGACAACCCACTGTGCCGCCTATACCTGTTATTCACTGAACGGGAGCAATTTACTCTACTAAACGACAATTCCTAACCTTCTGCATAATTCCCTGTATCGCATAATAAATGTCTACTGATCTTACAATGTACTACTCGTTTTAACTTCAAAATCAGCCTCTAATTTTCGACAGCTTTTACTGTGATTTCAAGGTTTTAAGTATTCCGAACAAAAATAGCTATATATTGTGATGATATTTTTGTCAGTTTGGTACTATCACATGTTCCTTACTGGGATTTCGAACTGCCAGCAGGCAGTTGAAATTAATTCTGAAAACAAACAAACCGTTGTTGCTACCTTGACATGGTGGTCGGGCTTGCCTATCGTGATGAAGCAACCGAGCTATACTGGCTGGAACAACCGTTCCTCAAGGTCCTACCATGTCAGACAGGTCGGTTGAAGAGCGGTAAGACTAAAAGCAACAAACCCAAGGTCCGAAGGCGAAGTCGTACTGCTGACTGTACAGAGGTGTGACAGCAGTAAGGTGTTTCCTTCAGACAACCAGCATGACAGCGATGCTGCCTTCCCACAAGGAGGGGTGGGGTTAGAAAAGGTCGACCCTAAAAATGAACACCTCGCCTTATCTCACGGATATCCGTCTCCGGCGGTAAGGTTTCAACAAGTACGGAGCTAACACAAAAATTGCTCACAAAAGGGTGTGACCGACCTCAAGTAGTTGTCCCTTTGGCATTGAGGTCACATTCTCTAGTCACCAAAACCACCTACCTCTAATCCAATTTCCTTTTCAGGTACCTCAAGAAGAGGTATGAGGGCGGTTTCCATTTCCCGGTTGCCCACACCGTGGAAGGGTTCTTCTGGAGGTACCTGAAAAGGAATTTGGATTAAAGGTGGTCTTAGTGACCTGAGAGCGTGACCGCAGTGCCCAAGGGACAACTGCTTGAGGTCGGTCACACACGACCTTGTTATGGGTAATTTTTGTGTTAGCTCCGTACTTATTGAGACCTTACCGCCGGAGACGGATATCCGTGGGATAAGGCGAGGTGTGCATTTTTAGGGCCGACCTTTTCTAACCCCACCCCTCCTTGTGGGAAGGCAGCATCGCTGTCATGCTGGTTGTCTGAAGGAAACACCTTACTGCTGTCACACCTCTGTACAGTCAGCAGTACGACTTCGCCTTCGGACCTTGGGTTTGTTGCTTTTAGTCTTACCGCTCTTCAACCGACCTGTCTGACATGGTAAAACCTTGAGGAACGGTTGTTCCAGCCAGTATAGCTCGGTTGCTTCATCACGATAGGCAAGCCCGACCACCACGTCAAGGTAGCAACAACGGTCAGGACCTCCAGAAGAACCCTCCCACGGTGTGGGCAACCGTAAAGTGATAACCGCCCTCACATCTCTAACAGCACTCAAAACCACTGTATCCATAATCAACCTCCGTCTTTACTTCCTATTATTCCTCCCACATCGACTTTCACCTCCAAACTTCTTTTTTCGGCTTCCCTCTCAAATGTCACCATAGCCAACGATTCTAGTGCACAGAACCGCCCCAGTTCTACTGAAACCTCGCTCCAAACTACACATTTGAGCCTTCAACGTACGCACTCTATGTCAAATCGGTCAACAGGCTTCCTTGGCTAGAACCCTAGAATCTCGTACCATGGATGTATGCTGTGTCTCAGTGTGGTCATTCACTTGACCTCACCTCGGCAAAACGGAGAGCCGACAAGATACACCCTCCGTGTATCTGGTGACCCGACGGCCAGCTCTCGTGGACTGGCAGGAGTAGGGATAGCACTAAGCATGAGGGCGGAACAAGCACTGTTAGAGTGGCTCCCCGTTAACAGTCGTTTATGTACTGTCCGGCTAAACGGCTCCGTAAGAACTCGGAAGGATAGGGACACGCGTCATTGTCTTCTCGTCGTTTCTGCCTACGCTCCCACCGACTGCAGCTCAGATGAAATGAAAGATGAATTTTACAGAAAGCTAACAGTTCAAACATAGTACTCGTAGGGGGTGACTTTAATGCCCAGATAGGTAGTTTAAACCAAACAGAAAGGCATTTATGTGGGTATTTTATTATTCCGGCACAGCGAACAGATAATGGTGATCGTCTGTTGCAACTATGTTCAGACAATCGTTTATTTTTAGCAAACAAATTTTAAGCATAAGGAGAAGCATTGTCTAACATGGCGATCCCCTACACCAAACTAACGATGGACTCAAATAGACCATATTGCCATCAGTCATCGTTGGAGAGGGTCGGTAGAAGATTGTCGCTCATTCCGGTGTACCTGCTTGGACTCCGATCATGCCCTAATACGGGCACGCATCTGCTTGCGCCTCACTGGACGCAAAAAAGCTACACTAAAAAGACCCATTAGAATTGAATTGAGTAGCGAGGAAACCAAAAGTAGGTTCCAGGAACAACTGAGTTCACACTTAGGTAGTTTTTGAAACGTGGTTGACCCAGACGTTGCTTGGAAAGCTATACAAACAGCAGTGAAATCTATCAATGATTTAAACCACAGGGTTACAAAGAACCAATGGATTTCCTCAAGTTCTATTGCACTGATGGGTTCTCGTAAACTCATCCCATCAGGCTCTGAACACGATGAAGAGCGAAAACAAATCAGATCTAGGTTAAGCAAAAGTCTAAGGAACGACCGTGAGCAGTGGTGGGCAACGAAAGCAAAAGAGATGGAAAAGGCGGCGACTATAGGGAACACAAGACAGCTTTTCAGACTAATGAAAGAAACTGGAATTAAGGAGTAAACTGTGAGGCTATTTCGGAAGAAGACGACACCGTCATCTGCTCTCAGTCCAGACGTTTAGAACGATGGGCGGAACATTTCAGAGAACAGTTCAACTGGCCTTCAGCTACTCTACAACTACCCTCCATTCCCAGACAGTGTGAATGGAACACTGAAGTAGGTTCCCCAATCCTAGCCGAAGTTCAAAAGGCTATAACTAATCTGAAACGAGGAAGGGCAGCAGATCCAGATGGATTGGTCCCAGAGGTCTTTAAGGATGGTGGTCCAATTTTAGTGATTAGATTGACTAATATTTTAGCTAAGATCTGGAAGTTAGACGTTATTCCATCTGACTGGTCACAATCACTTATCGTACCAATATATAAGAGAAGGTTAAAATCAGCCTGTAACAACCATAGAGGGATTAGTTTAACTAATATAGTATCTAAAATACTAGCTTCGATAATTATCGGACGCCCAACTAAGACTCGTGAACTGCAAACACGAGAGAATCAAGCTGGCTTCAGACCTGGTCGTGGCTGCATCGACCACATATTCAGCATTCGTCAGGTTCTGGAACACAGGCATACTTATCGGCGTCCGACAATGGTCTTTCTTGACTTGAAACCAGCATGACTCCATATACCGCGAGATCCTGTGGCAGTGTGTCATTGAAATGCGTATATAAACCCTGTGAAGGCTCTTTGTTCGAACACTACTAGTCGAGTCAGAGCTCATGGCGAACTGTCATCTGCTTTTACAACTTCAAGTAGTGTCCGTCAAGGCTGTCCACTTTCTCCATTGTTGTTTAACTTCATCATAGACCTACTGATGGAAATAGTCTGTCAGTCAGTAACAACGTAGAACTTCGTACGTACGTAGATCAGTTAGAGTTGCCATACTACATTAGCACAGAGATGGAAATAACATTCTCGTCGACTGAATTCTCGGGTATTGATCTCCTTCCAGGAGGTCCACTTATCGACTTAGAATACGCGGATGACATAGTCCTGTTTGGTGAAGACGCTGATACAATGCAGAATCTTTCGGTAGTACTAAGCAACAATGCCAGAATATTTGGAATGCGCTTCCCTCCCTGTAAATGCAAGTTGTTGCTTCAGGACTGGTCTGCGTCAACACCTGGACTAAGGATAGGGAGTGAAGTAGTCGAACACGTTGACAACTTCCCTTATCTTGGAGGTCTGATCAACCCCAATGGGTTGGTGTCTGACGACATCTCAGCACGGATTCGAAAAGCTCGCTTGGCTTTTGCCAACTTACATCACCTTTGGTGAAGGCGAGATATCCGTCTATCAACAAAAGGAGGAGTATACTGTGCGGCAGTCCGTTCTGTTTTAATTTACAGCAGCGAAACAGGGCCATTAAGAGTAGAAGACACTCGTAAGCTATTAGTATTTGACCACAGATGCCTTAGAAATATTGCTGGCGTCTGCTGGGATCACCGGGTAAGTAATAGGAAGGTTAGACGCAGGGTATTAGGGAATGATGGTAAATCAGTTGATGAGGTTGTGAAACTTCATCGACTGAGATGGTTGGGCCACGTGTTACGTATGCCTGAACACCGATTACCACGACGTGCAACGCTGACAGGTGTTCGAGATGGTTGGAAGAAAGTTAGGGGCGGCCAAACCAAAACGTGGCATCAGTGCTTGAAGTCACTTACTTCTGGTTTGAGCCATGTTGGGAGATACAGACTACTTGGTTGGGGTCCGCGAGACTATCGTAACCAATGGTCGGAGACTCTTGGTGACGTGCCTCAGAATTGATCACAATGGCGTCGGTGTATACACTCTGTGTCTTCCCTTAAACTAAGTGATTAAAATCGCTTCATATCTTTCTACGAACTAATTCTTTCTTCCTGTACTATATCCTTATTGCAATCTTTCTCGTATATATTACCACCTCTGAATTAACTACTTTTATGAATCTGGTGTCCATCTTGTTGTGTTAATGGGGTATGGCAACTTGGACCGATGCATATATATGCCTGGTCCTACGTTGTAGCTGACTGACTGACTTCAAATCCTCACACAAGACATTGATAGGGAAGAATTAAAGGCACTGTCGCTTCGAACCGGTGGTGTTACAGTCAGCCGTCCGAGGTTGCGTCAATCTGGCTGCGGGTTACACAGTTGTCTAGAACGTGTAAAGCAATCACTTAGGCAGTGCGTGTCTTGTGTATCATAGATATGTTGGTCTGATCACAAATCGGATATACTACACAGGAAATTCCGTCCATTTTTTAAATAAAGCACAGATCGCAAACAAAACCTCCATAAATGCCATTTGACTTCAACTAGGTTTACTTTGATACATATAACTCCCTCTATTATCTTATCTTAAAGAGATAAGACAGAGATTGCTGCAGACCATCTTACTTTGTTAGGCCCTCATCAGCTACTTAAGATCAATAATACTTCAAAGTCAAAGTTATCACAAATATTGACATACTTTATTAATACGAAAGAGGTCAGAGAGGAGTATGTGTGTCATGACAGCGAAGATAGAAGTTGATAAGGTCACAAAAATAAAACTTGAGAGGGGAAGTGCCAGAACATTGAATCAGTTAACAAACATGAGATGATTGTATAATGAAGTGATTGAAAACGGACTAATGGTAATAAAGAAAGACGTCAGTTGAAACCAGTCAGTTATAAATTTAAAAAATTACAATGATATAATCCAAACTTTGGGAACAGTAGAAAAAATGAATGATGCAATAAAAAGGATGTAATGTTACCAGGGCAAAGAAAGACTTAGTTCATTTTAGGTTACATAAATCACGTTCCAGGTGTTTTATCGCTATATTCTCGGGAAATTTCAGGAGATCGGAGTTCCATTGTTTACCAGTGACCTTGAGAAACTCCAGTGTATCTGCCTGATGTCGTGTGTCAAGATGTTTCGAGATGGCACTAGTGAATACTTTTAATCCACTTTGACTTTTTGAAATTCGTCCTTTGAAGCGGACGTAGGCTACTCTTTCTGTTCTACCAATGTATCTGCTTTTGCGAATACATATGAATTTGTAAAAACCGCAATTGGTACTAATATGGAAAAGAATACCTACCGATCTTCGAGTGTGTTATAGAACATCATGTTTTGGACAAGACAAACAGTTTAGCTGATAGATGTCATGATACAGTCATCCCTAACCTCTTTCGTATATATCCGTAATAATTGGTTTGATAGCTCGTAAGAAGCTGATGAGGACTTAGCGAAATAAAATGAATAATTAATATTTTGCATCAATCTTAATTTCTGCTCTCTTTAACATTTATTTTGGTTCAATGCTTTCGAAGCCTAACGATTATTTCACTTAATAAAGATTGCAATTCATTGATCTCATTCCCTCAAAATTATTAGATTTTAGAACAATACTAGTACTTTACTCGCCTGTATTTTCAAGACTTATTGTTTGTATAAATGTACATGAATCAAAATTCCCGCAAGCAGAAAGTATTGGTTCTGAACTAATTGTTTTCCTGAAGTTGATGGCTGATAAAAGTAAAAGTATTTGAATATTCGACTTTTGCATTCTTTAAGGACATTCGAATAGTAACAAGAGTTAAAAGTGTTCGTGAATTAATTTCTTGAAAACAGAACTATCATAAGGAAAGTTCACCGAAATGAAATTAAGCCGGCATCGATGAGCTTCATTAGTTTGGATGCTATCTCTGGGTTATTAAGGTGTGCACGAAGTGCAGTAGGATCTGACATCTGATCTAGAATAAGGCGCATGGCTGGATCGGACAAGATGGAAGCTATTTCAGGATCGTTCATAGCACGCTTGCGAGCAGCTTCTGGATCGTCATCATTTGTATATGATTGACTGAGACCTTCTCTAGCTTCCGAACAATCTGGATCTAGCTCTAGAGCTTTCCTGAAAGATTGAAAAACATAAAAATCATGTAGCGTTAACGAATCTTCACACTGATACGTTGTTTATTAATTTTACAGCCAAGTAGCTTATTTGTTGCATTTCACCAGCAGTTGTACCCAGCACTTCAGTTAAACAAGCACATGAAATTTTCTGATGTATTCGACTTCTGCCCACAACCTGAACCGAGTAGTGTGAGACTTATGATATTCTCAATTGACATGCATTTCGACTTAGGTATAACTCGGGGTGAAATGCAGATCGTTTCTCTCAGGGTAAGTTTGCCTCAGTATAGTGGTGCGATTGACTTAGAATCTGGTGACAAGCCAAGCATAGAAATATATATATATATATATGACTTGAACATAGCGTATTTATGAACAAAGCACTTGTTATGTAGCAGACGTTGGCTTACTGCAACATTACATTGAATAAGCAACTTATAACTGTAGGGTCACTGAATAAATGTTAAACAAATGTGCTCCAGGGGTTTGACCTCGCATCCCTAAGAGTGCAGCTCGTTTGATAAGTCAAAACCAGGAAAGATATCTAGAAGTAAATTCGTAAAGACGGTTTAACTGAGGTTGTTACGCATTACTGTTGAAAATTTGTCAGAGTAAATTTTGAAATCCAATAAATATGGTGGTCACTTTATTTGATATATCTAAAAACTTTGGTTACTAAATCGTTTAGTGGTGAGAGTAGTCTCGAAAGTCCGTATAATACTTTTGTTGGGTTTTTAACTAACCATCAGCAACCTGAAGTTCGGAAGGAAAAGTTGGAAGGGTTGAATTTTTTTATCTAAGAATACCGAAAAAATACCGTAAAATAATGAGCATTAGATGTAGGAAGTTCTCTACTAATGTGAGTGCATTTTTATATCCACCACTGGCCTCTCTTTGGGAATTGTTTATTAAAACATCTTGTCAACTGTTCAGGAGACATATTATGTCACTAATATTGGTGCACATCACCGGTTTTAATTGTAGCTACTGTGAATTTGTTTTCAATTCAGTAACGCAGCAAAGCTGTCCGAGAATGTATTCAACTGATATTTTTAGTTCCAAATGATAACAGGCAGATCACTTCTACTTATAACTGTTGTAATTTTATTACAAAAACAATCTCGTCGACGCACATACACAGGTGACTATAAATTGAAGTAATTATGATTGTTAAATGGCCTTTTTGGGCGAATGATGGTGTATAAGCATTTTCAACCAAATGTAGAGGATAATTTTACAGTTAAGCACAAAACTCCGATGATGAAAAATCACTTAGTAAGCTAGACTTAATAAATACAGAAAGAATGTGTTTCATAGCTATTACGAAATAGTGAACTGACGAATAGTAGCCCAGAGCAGGGCAATATTTCAAAGAAAAACTCAGCTCTTATGAAGGTTGATAAGTACTTTCTTCTGAGGAATGTACAATAGTAAGTCGTATACTGATGGAATACACTACTGCCAAAATAATCGTAACGAACACACATTCAGCACCAAATTTGGCTTTACGATACGAAACATTGGAATTGGCCATCTATACTAAAGACCTAATGAATATCCGTAGCTAAATAGTTACTTATTGTTGCGCTTTTTTGTTCGGTTTATTTGAGAAGTGCTTATTTTCATTCTGAATGGTGTTTGCAAAGTATGAAGCTATCAACAAAAATGTCGTTCGCGATGACTTTAAGATGCCTTACGGAGCTTATGTATTCGACTGACAAGATCACTAATAACACAATTACCCTAAGTTGTTCAAGAAGAAATAACGTCCCACGATGTAGGGAACTAAAAACTGCTAATACACATCTCCCATCACTGGATTACGTGTGGGTTTATGCGTCGTATGTTCAAATGTTCGGTCAGTAATAGTAATGTACTAAAAAAACAGCCTGGTTGTGGCTCGCCACAAACAGCTCCAATTTTTCCACTAAGCACAAGCCTTTGGAACAAAATGCTTGCCTAATCAGTATGTTTACTTACTAAATTAGCTAATTACTTTCAAATCTTCTAAACATAAATGTATCATTATCTAACTCTGGTAACCAAGTTCTGTAGAGAAACTTAGGATTGCAAACTCGGTCAACATCTGATGAACAAACAAAGACAGACGTCTAGGTGAATTAGCATTTAAAGACCATTATTGTGATGAGTGGTCAAGACGCATATACTAATGACTTTGGAATTGATTTATTGTGCAAGGCTAACAGTCTACTTTAATGATGCTACTCCAAGATAAGCTGGTAACAAGTATCATTGCCGTTTGTAAAGGAACTGAACGCTAACCATGTCGATTAATTTACAACAGACAAGAGTTTATCCATGTTTAAGACATGGACACTTGGTACCATCTAGTAAAGTTTAATGTCCTAAACTAAAAACTGGAAAAGGCACAACCAGATAGTTATTGCACAAAAAACCGATGGAAAATCTTCTGAACATACCGAAAAGCCTTCCTTGCTTGAGTAAAATCCTTCATAGCATTGCATGCTGCTCCTTTCCTCAGGTAACCTTTGATAAATTTCGGATCTGCCTCGATGCACTTATTACAATCACTAACCGCTAAAGGAAACTCCATTAACTTTGTGTAACATGCTGCACGATTACTATACAGTTTTGCGTCAGATGGATTTCTCTTTATAGCCTCAGTGTAATGTTTTATGGCAGCTGGGTAATCACCCTTCTGATAACATTCGTTTCCCTTGACTTTCTCCATTTCTGACATCTCTGGGTTAATATATGCTAACCTTTCCATTTCCTTCATACGATTTTCTAAAGCTCGAGCACTCTTCTCAACATCTGGTTGCTTAGATTCGGACAGTGACTTATCGTAATATTTTTTTGCATTAGGATAATCCTCTTTTTTCTCACAAGCATGAGCAGCACGCGCGAATGCTTTGGCTATCAATTTGAAGTCGGCTCTGTTTTCTCTGCCTATCTCAACAGCCTCTTCACATATCTCCACGCACTTATCATATTCACCTTTCTCGTAATACACGGCAGCTTTGTTTGTGTAGTACGTTATGCACGTTGGGTCAAGTTTTATTGCATTGTCGTAATGTGTGATCGCAGCTTCGAAGTCCTTTTTTTTATAAGCGTCATTACCCTTTTCTTTCTCACAATCTGCTTCTGCACGCCCCATGACGACAATTAGTAGCGCAGTTAACGTTCCAGAACACTCAGTGGATATCAGGAATAACCGACGCACTCTAACAAATTCGTTCAAGAAACAATATAGCGATGGTTTGATAGCATTGAAGTAGCACTAACAGCCTGACTTCTCTAAATTATTAGGCAGTCCTATAATTTGATCTCTTGACTTAAAACTCAATATTTAAAGATGAAGTAACCTACAGGAAACATAATACTGACGCCGAGAAAAATTATAGAATATTCAGACTTAAGCAATAAGGATAGAATATCCATCGACCTATATTATTCCCTGCAGTTTGTAACACTATGGAGGTCCAATCTCGTTTTGAATATATCAAAAGAATACTCTGATATTACGTGTTCTAGTAGATAATTCTGGTGGATCACCACTCGGTGTGAGAAACGAGGCTCCAAACGTAGACGATTCAATTTCTGTTTTCGAACTTTCTTAGAATATACTCTGAAATGATCAGTCCTAGACGGAAGGAAAAGATAAGACAGATTAGTATCAAGGTCATCGTGCAGTATACGATAAATCAATGTTAGATCACCCCGTATTATACGGTAAGATAACGGAAATGAGTTAAGGTGTCTTAGTCTGTCTTCATACGATAGACCAGAGAGATATTTTACCATTTTAGTTCCCCGTCGTTGGACTCGTTCCAGTACATCTGCTTCATACTTGGAACAAGGACTCGCTGCTTGAATTCCATATTCCAAATGCGGTCTCACGAAAGTTACACGGAAATTCAGAATTACTAGCTGAATCAGATCGAGCAAAAGCTGAGAATTTTTCAGACTATTTTAGCGAAGTCTTCTCTACGTTTATTGTAACAAATACTTGTCCCACTCACACCAAGATACCAACCATCGAATCTGTACAGGTGACTGAGGAAACTGTCCTTCCGTTGATAACTAACCTCAAACCCGATAAGAAACCGGGCCCTGACGATTTACATCCATGGTTGCTGTCATCTCTTGTCGACATTATTTCAAAACTGCCCGCGACACTCTTCAACATATCCCTTTCACTCACTCAACTCCCTAGAGATTGGAAGGACGCTATAGTCAGTCCTATATTTAAGGATGGTCAGCGACAGATAGTATCTAACTGCCGGCCTGTCAGTCTAACTAGCATAGTCGTTAAGTTACTTGAAGAGATAACTCGAGTTAGGTTGCTAAGCGACATAGATTTACACAATCTGTTAGCTCCTGAGCAACACGGATTTCGTAACAAGCGTTCATGCTTGGCTAACTTGCTTACTGCGAGGGAGGATTGGACAGCAGCCCTAGATAACGGTCTGTCTGTCGATGTGATATTCATAGATTTTAGCAAAGCATTTGGCAAGGTCTCACACTTAGGTCTTATGCAGAAGCTCACGAGCTTCGGAGTAATAGGTACTGTACATGAGTGGATAGGAAATTTCTTAGGTGACCGCAGACAGAGAGTGAGGGTCAACGGAACGCTATCCGATTGGAAGCCGGTCAAAAGTGGTGTACCCCAAGGCACCATCTTAGGCCCTCTGTTCTTCTTTATCTACGTTAATGAGCTACTGCTGTTACTTAGGTCGTCGACATTATTGTTTGCGGATGATGTAAAAATCTGGAGAACAATAAAAAGTGCAGCTGATCATCTGGATCTTCAAGCTGACTTAGGCGATTTAGTGGAGAGTGGAGGCTTAGAAATCAATGCTAGGAAGAGTATACTAATACACATCGGCCACGGTAATAGTTACCGTTACACTATTGAGGGTAAACCTCTTCCATGCGTTCAAGAGCATAAAGACTTAGGAGTAGTATTAAGTCATGATTTAAAAACAACTACGCATTGCAAAGCAGCCGCTGTCAAAGGTTTTCGTGCGTTATGGTCACTTCGCCGAGCGTTCAAATCTTTTGACGAGGAAACGTTTAGAATTTTATATCCCATATATGTTAGACTACATTTAGAGTACTATATTCAAGCAGCTGGCCCGTGTTTGGTAAAGGATACTAACTCCCTTGAGCGTGTCCAGCGTGTAGGAACGAAATTAGTGAAGGCTCTTTCTAGACTCCATTACGATGAGCGTTTAAAACGCCTAAATCTTTTCCCCTTGTCGTATCGTAGGACACGAGGTGACCTTACACTGGCATTTCGTATCTTTAATTATGATTTGGGTGTTAATATGTCTTATCTTTTTGCTCCCTCCAGCACTAATAATCTCCGAGGTCATAGCAAGAAGGTTCATAAACCACGATCTAACAAACTTAAAGTGGGGTCTCGTTTTTCTCATCGAGTAGTTAATGATTGAAACGCCTTACCTGAACAAGTGGTATCAGCCCCATCAGTGAATACTTTCAAGGAGAAGCTGGACTGCGTAGTGCAGTCCCATAGGACTTTATAATCATAGGATGAATATCATCAGGACCACTGGACCTATCAGGTTTGAGATGCTGAAGTAGTCCCAAGATAACACCTTCCTCAATAACTAGAGGGTCTATCTACAAGCTGCCACAAACACAATTATTTGTTGTGCGTTCCTCACTGCTGGTAAACAACGTTTTACTGAAATATTTCGATAAAGCTTCAGCATTTTTAACGTCATCTTCTCCCAATATTAACAGATTTTCTTGTACCGAAAGTGATGGAATTCCATCACTTCTATGAGTTCGCCTTTTTGTATACGACAGTGACAGTTTCGGACTATTTTACAATCCTTAACGAATTGTTTCTCATACGACTGTCCAGACTTACTTATTAATGTTAAGTTCGCTACTTGATTAACGCAGAATACGTTCAACGACTACGACACTCAAAAGTTGAACTTCACCATCGTAAACAGAAAACAGAATAAATGCTGGTGAAGTGTTTATTTAGTACGGATCAAAGTGTACAGAAAATCACACGTATTTATAGATATTAGCATTTGTTAAATCAACATTATATTGCGGTCAAGCCTCTAAGAGACGTACTATGCAACTGAATAATAGTAGCGTGCCACGTTGATATTCTAGAAAGCTCCATCATGGTATGATTGGCTGGAACTCTTCGGCTTCTTTAGGGTCTCTGTTTTACTTTTCGGAGGCCGACTCAGCAATTAACGCTTCGCAAGCATTCCTAGTCTTGCAATAATTGAATCTGTACTATTCAAGGCTAGAAGAGATTAACATAATCCAAAGCCTTTTTCTACATCTGAGGAGTTTCTTGACGGAAAGTCATTTGATCTCCGTGGTATCAGGCATGGTATAAACGAGGGCGCAACTGACCTAAACCTGCCTTTAAATATAGATCATGCTTAGTCAACTGATGAGATTGTATATACTGACCAACCTGCCTTGGCAGAGCACTTCTGAATGGCTGACATTTTATCCCTCGATACATTTGAGCGAGGCTTAACCTGATAGTGTATCATATCACTAGCTCTAAACGTAAATGACAAAATAGCGTAATCGATATTCACTAACGGTAGGAGAATATTTAGGTTGACAATATCCCCAATCGCATGAGTGATTATCAAGTCCAACCAGGAAGAACCTTGGTTAGCACCAAAATATGTGGGTTTGAATACATGCTGTACTAATTTATGGTTCATTAACGTTATCAGGAATCTACTATCAAGGGGGTTTATAGATCAAACCGTGGCCATCTCAGTCCAACTAATATCAGGTGCATTAAAGTCTCCTAATATCAAGCATCTGTTATCTAAACTCCACAGCTGAATGAGATCTAAATAGTCATCAGCTAAGCAGACTGTGCTGGGATAGATGACACCGAGTATAGATGTGCAACATCTTCTTTCCTACATCTATGTCTATCAGTTCTTAGTATTACTTAGTATTGGAATTAACAACAAAAATCGGAACAGACTCACCTGGTTCCTGGGATTGTATACAACCACCGTGTCGGTTGTGCACAGAAACCACTATCTAGAATTTAAAGCACAGATTTTCCAACACTATCCTTTCCCATGAAATAATGTTTGATATTTATATCCCTAAGTTATGAATGATGTGGCTTCATTTAAAACATATTTCTCATATTGACTAGAGTAAACATTAGAAGTGAATTTGTGATAAGGATAAACAGCAGTTGATATGAAATCATCCGAATTGTAATCAAACTCGAGCTCATTTAGTATTTGTGCCTTGCACTGAACAAGATTCTCACAAGAAACAAATGTATTATGAGGACAAATAATATTTGGTATGACATCAAGATTTGACTCTTCTGAAATAGTTTCCTCGAATTTATTAAGAATGTCATTGTAGAGTAGAGGACCATTAGAAAAATCAGCATCTACCAAAACTACATCAGGTTTTCGAACATGATTAGGTTTATTCAACATATTTTCCTCAGATTTGCAAGGAATTTCATCAGAAATATGTGAATCATTAGGAAAAACCATATCTGGTACAATAACATGAGAAATCTGATAAGTCGATTGGTTAGAAACTGTTATCTCGCAAAGATTCTGATTTTCACCTAACTCTGAACTGCTATATGACTCTACACTGTCTTTCGAAGTCGTTGATAAGGATAAATAATCATTAGGAACACTGGACTTAATAGAGTCAGAATTACACGACTTAATATTCGTTGCAGCATGATGAACAGTAGTATTACAAACTGAATGAACATGTCCAGTATCACCACATTTAATGCAATTAAAATTACGAAACTTACATGAATTAAAAGAGTGGAACCTGCCACAGGACAAGCATTGACCAAACTTGTTTCCATCTTCGTGAACTGCATCGCAACTCCTCAATGAATTATCTGCATAACCTTGAGTATGCCCTGGGCTGGGATGACGAAATGCAATGAAGTTTTTATATCCTTATGAATCATTTCACGAAATCTTCCTTCTTTACCACATTAGAAATTTGTATACTTAACATAGTCTAGTAGTAGTTCCTTGAGGGCTGCATAAGAAAGCGAAATGAGCTTTTCTGGTGAAGCCAGAGTTTTTAATAAGCTATTTGCTCCTTTACGATAAATGTGAGGGAATGTGCTACGATATTAACATCCTCACCATCTTCCTTGGTCATAGCCCATATTTCGAACCTTTCAAAGTAATCGTCAATAGCATCAAAATCTGAATGTATATCCAACAATCCCATCACAGGCTCAATCGCGACGCCAATATGATGATTAGGAGTATTTGAATTATAGTGTGAAC